ACCAAGGGAAATACATAGGCGACCAGTGCTGAAATAATCTTGAAAGTTTAAAGTTTTGCTAGTAAAGTGTCTATGCAAGGTGGCAGGGGAGGGAAATTAAACACAAGGCTAAATCTGCCAAGGTTGAATAGTACAAATTTAAATTATGAACCCTTGGCTATTAAAGATGGTGAGATAACGAGGTAAGTTCGTAAAATAAGATGTGTCTTCAGCAGTATGCTCCAGTGAAATTACACTATAAAGTCAGCATCGGTCCTGCGCTATCACAAGGAGACAAACATGAACATACCATAGACTCCAAAAACACAAATTAAATATGCACAAACTCACCACACGCATGCATCTAGCAAATGGGGGAGGCCATCCTTAAATGACCATGTATAGCTGTTGATAGGACGTACATTAAACAATACTAAATCAAACCTGAAGTTTATTTTGACATAAAGATCTTATTTATTTGGATAATTTCATGGAAATGATGACTTGTTATTTTAAACAAATGATTTGCTAATTTCAGCTTGCATGCACTGTATGAATGTTATTTTAATAACATTGTACCCATATGAATCCATGATTGTCGTGAAGTGGTGCTTTATTTGAATTTAATACATTTGATGCTCTATTACCTGACCTGGAACGCATTCGTAGCCATACCGAGACAATACAATACTGTGGTATAACTGAATATATATTGTGTACATAGTTTAAGCGTCTGCGAGACCAGCTGTTCTAACTTACAAACGTCCAGGTGACGAGAAAGAACACGAGAGAAATGTTTTTGACTTTTGACAGGAGCTGTAGGCAATTCACACTTTTCAATTTGTACTATTCTTCTTTTTGGATAACGACGCTTTAACCTGTAAGCGATAAATACATCACTGGCGTCAATCCGAGCAGCATCAATACTAAAAACGTCTTTTAATATTAACGGCTACCAAACCCTTGCTCCTGGTTACAAATAAATGCTATGTCCCAATCACCTTCCCTCTGGACAGGCTTTTAAGTAAGTTGTTTTAGTGCCAAATTTTGTACAGCATGATTATTTAGCCTCTTTATCTTAATCCTTCCAACCAGAGACGTATATAACACACATATACGTCTCTGTTCCAACGTAGGTTCTTGTGATAAAATTTGTTGTTTGCCTTACACTGTAACAATGTTTCAAGCTCCTGAGAGCTTATGTTAACTATGACATATATTTAACGTAAAATAATGATTCTTGTATCTTTTATTTTGAAGTAACATGCCACTATGCTTTTATCCGATAATTTTAAGATAAAAAAACCCACAAACACAAGCTTTTAATCACGAACATTTCCTCGAATGCGCCTATGTATAATCTTCGGCACGATGAAGGACACACGTTAAGGTATATCGTCTAGACACCAGTTTCCGCGCGTTATGTATTTCCGCGCAGACATTTTATCAAGCTACATCTCGTAACTACGTGACCTGCTGGCCATCGTCTGTAAACTGACAATTTTTTTTACCGGAAGTTCGTCCGGAAAACATAAGATTTATTCACTGATTAAAAAACACGCATAAATATGCAGTTTTACTTAATGCTCTTTTTATCTTGCTCAAAATGAACCCATACCTGAAAAAACGATGATATATTTCATTCATGAACCAGTCTTTTTTGTAGTCTGATAAACGTACGAAAATGTCGTATACAAATGAGGCCACATCTCCTCGCCGATTTTTTTCCACTTCCGAAGAGCCAAGGAGACATTCTTATATCGATAAACAGTGTTTTCAATGAAACGTAAAACTAGTAATGCAATGAACCTCCAATTTTCACCAATTTTAAACAGAACAAAATGAGAAATAACTTACCATCAACCAAAACCGATATAAAACTGCAGAAAAAAAAACCAGATTCCATATCATAACTAAATATAAATAGTATAATAAATAATTAAAAAAAATACATGAATTCGATCAATTTGACATCTTGAAAAATAAATTAAAAGGTGAAACTTAAAAAAAAAAATGTTCAAAGATATATTTTTTATTCCAAACAAAGCTTTTGTTCTTGCAGGTCACTGCAGAGAATTTCTTTTTAGTGTAATCGAGTTATCTTTCTTTGAACACTAAATCAAAATAGACACACGGAAACATATGACGGCTACTTCCGACGGGAGAAATTTGCTAAAAATTGTTTGTTCTGATTTTTTTAAAATACAGCTTTATATTGGTAGTTTTTTGTTTCCTTTAGTAGATTGTATATGTTTATGACAGTCTTCCGTAATTTCAACAGTGTTCTGCCGATATGAGTACGAAATCGCGGATGCGTCTTAAGCGCGGAAACCGGTAACCCGAGGATACTGTTGATGCCGACATGTACAAATGTATGTAAACTGTAAACGAAAGTAGGTCTGCGAGATCGCAAACATTTCATGCTGATATTTCCGCATAAATGTCAGTTAGTACTTGATGTGATAGCAATGGATTAAACGAGTGTTACCTTGTGTTGGATTCTAGCACATCAGTGTCTCAATACATACGGTATTAATCTGTTAATGTTCGATAAACGTCTGTTTATTATTACAGTCCTGATTATGTTGTGAGCTATTTCCGGGTCACGTTCTCGTATTCTCTTCTTTTTTATACGAGGGCTCCATCAGTTTGATGATTATGCCATCGGGGGTCCTATTGTAGAGGCGTGAAGGGGTTATTTATAGTGATTAGGGGTGGGTGTTTTTTGTGATTTTTTTGTGCAAGGTATAGATAAAAAGTTAAAATCTGGTGTATGTACTAGTGTGTGATGAGGGCTTCAAGGGCTGTGTAGGGTAAGTGTGCCTTGAAGTCCTCTAGTGTTGTGCATTGGACTGCTGCTAAGGGAAGAAGATTCCATTGTGTTACTGTGTGTGGGAAGAATGAGTATTTGTAGGTGTCCTTTGTAGCAGATATGTGTTTGTATGCGTACGGGTGTACCTGTCTGGTGCGGGGGTCTACAGGTGTGAGTATATGTGTTGGGTTTAAAGCTACGATTCTGTGTATAATTTTGTAAAAAAGGATAATTCTAGTGTATAAGCGTCGTGTTTGTAGTGTTGGCCATTGAAGTGTGTGGATCATGTCTGTTACGGAACTAGTGTTGTGGTATCTGTTTTGTACGTAGCGTGCTGCTCTTCGTTGTGTTTTTTCTATTTGTTTAATTTGGTTTGTGTTGTGTGGATCCCAAATGGAAGAGCAGTATTCAAGTTTAGGCCTAACTAGTGCTTTGTATGCATGTTCTTTTATATGTGGTGAGTTTATTTTCAGGTTGCGTTTGAGAAAACCTAGGGACCTATTGGCATTGGCTGTGATATTGTTTATGTGTTTGTCCCATCGTAGGTTGTTTTGTAGTGTTAGTCCTAAGTATTTGCTTGTTTCTACTTTGTGTAATGTGTGGTTGTGGAGTTTGTAATCATGGTGTATTTTGTTGCGTTTCGGTGTAATGTTAAGTATGTTACATTTGTCGGGGTGAAATTGCATTAACCAGTCTGTCTCCCATTTTCCTGCTGCATCGAGGTCGTGTTGTAGTTTTAATATGTCTTCTTTGTTGTTTATTGTCTTGTATATTATGCTGTCATCTGCAAATAGTCTAAGTGTGCTGTATTTCATATATTCGTGGAAGTCATTTATGTAGATGAGGAAGAGGATGGGGCCCAAACAGGTTCCTTGAGGGACCCCTGAGGTTAAGTATCAAGTGCGCTTCCGGTTACGTCATAAAATGCAAAATCTTTTTGATATTTATTAATAAAAGATAGTGTAAAAAATAAACTAGTTAATAAAACAATATCAATACATTGTAAATATTATTTTCTTGAATATTTGCGAAGCAGACGACGTTTGATCATAATCTGGAAACTAGAACATTTTTTTCCAAAAAAAATGTGTTTTAACATTTGAAAGAAAAAAGTTTGAAGGGGAAAAAATAAATTTGTTCTTTTATGAATTAATGAAAGTGATACAGAAAAGAAATATAGTAAATAATTGATAGTAAATTTATCAAAAACATCCTTGGAGAGTATGTTCTGGGCATGATCGTTTAGAAGCTTTGCAATACTTTAAACTCTTACAAAATGGCGACTGGAAGTAGCAAGGCGGATTTTTAATAAATTGAAATTTAAATTGCGTATATTTCGGCAAGTAAACATTGTTCACAAAGCCCATGTGGTCTGTTCATCTAATTTAGTCAAGATGTACTCAGAACAGTCGTTGTTTAGTCGCTAGGGTCATTCACAAAAAAAATAGTATTATTATATAAACTTATTGTAATTATTGTAATTATTATTAATGGTAGTCAAAGACGTTTCATGAAAATGTTATAAACCCTATCAAAGCAAACTTTCCTGCAGGGAAAAAATGTAGGCACGCCGTTCTCATGTACCATTACAAAGCAGAGGGTTTAATATATAAATCCTGTTACGTAATATGGCAGACAGGCAATTGATATTTTAGATGGTTCATTGAATAATAATACGCCATCTTCAAAAGGTAATGTATACGTACCTGTATACTTATAACACATGTTGTCACCCTTCTAATTTGTAACACACTTTCTGACTGGATATCTAGCCGGATCTATATCTCTCTTTTTAACAACAAAGATGGCGTCCGACACACATTCACAGTATAAAATAGCCTACTTAATTGACAGCAAATTCAACGAAACAGGCAAAGAGGGGGCCGCTAGGGTGCTAATTACAAAGATGATTGTGTATTGTCCGAAATATTATCGAAAATGTGTCCGGTAGGAGCTATTTTGGTAGCAATCAAGTACAACTCAACTTTGCAGAAAAAAACTACTTGCTAGAATACTTTTTATATACATCTCTGTTTTCACGATTAATTTCAGCCCATTTGTAAGCTAACACAAACTTCCCTTGTGATATTACTAGCAGAAATAAAATCCTTTAAGGTAACATCGACATGTACCTTTTGCGATGGTTTAGCACGGACTATTCTACTGAATTCCGTGTGTTTAGCGATCATTTATACATGTAGTAACTCACCTATCGAAGTAGTCCTGGTGCGTGATCCCGGTTGTCACTGACTATATCACTTCCTTATTTTACAAAAGCATTAATTGTTCTAAAAATATCAACTCTTGCGTGCAAGATATTTGCACATGTACGTATTGTGCGATACTGCGTATATACACCCCACTTTGTGTGTATTTGAGTATGACGTCACCACTTTGTTGGAATCAACATATGAGATTTATGAAACAAGTCTAAGAAGTTGTTAAGCTGGCGAGCTAAAATGAAAAAATCGTGACGAGTTTCATGAATTTCATATGAAATGAAAACGAGTGCAAGATCCTTTTTATCACATAACCAAGATTTGTGGCATTTATTCGTGTAAAACAACAATTTTAATGCAACCTTGAAATGTAAAAAGCTGAAACAATTGAAGCTTACAACCAATCACAGGGCTGACAGGTCATATTACATAGGTTAATACGCAAAAAAAATAAATATGAAATGGGTATATTCACTGGATAGCACAGTACAGTATGTGATAAATTGCTGAACGATTCAAAATTCAATAAGTTTGATTTGAAACATGCTCACTTCAAATGGAATTCTGACCAGGGGGCATATGTTTCCTAACTATCAACACACATCAGGGTATATTCCAATATAATATGATTTAACTTCTTACGGAACTTGCGCGAACAATTTGGCAGAGTTCAGGTTTTTCAAAGACTTGAGGGTCTGCAACGCATACTCGATAATATGATGATATTGGCCAAAACGAAGAAACAGCATCTATAGTTTCTGGAGAACGTACTGTTTAGAAGCGTATAATTTACGTCAGCAAATTATTACGTGTGAGATGTTCATGCCCAGACTAGAATTATGTGGCAAAGTGTTAGAAAGAAGGTTCACACAAAACTTGAGTAAAGGTGGAAACTCTACTTTCCAAGCTTCGAGCTTTACTGGGGTTAGGTTTGTTCCTGTCCCATCCTCGAAATACAGGGGTTACGCTCACCTACGCTCTCTGCACCCCTGGAATATGTCATAGACAAACTGAAGGCACGCAACTAGCTATTTGATTGGTCTCGGTTAAAAAAACCTGACCAATCGCTAGGCTGATACCTGTCTTTGAAGATTACAAAGGAGCGACACCCGACTTCAAAGTCAGTCAATTTTTACCGTTACGCGACCGCGAGATTCTTTTGATGAACATCAGATGATCGAACTAGTCTTCTGGTCTCTTATCAAATCAACAAGGTGGCGCACACTGAGCCTTCAATTTTGCTGACATATTAGTGGTGCAGAGAGCGAAAGTGAGCGTAACCCCTGGATATCGAGGATGGAGGTGCAGATTCGAGGATGTTCCTGTTCTTGATACCTTACCTTGGTCCGACTGTGAAAATGAAACACCCACTTTGAGTAAAGTTAGATGATGACACGACTTTGATGGTAAATAAATGAATGCCACGGGTAATGGACAAGGTCAAACAAATGACGACCTCCGAAAGGGTGTTAACTCTAAATCTATGGCCAAATTTCATCAGTTACCAGTTCTGGTACCATGTTGCGCGTCTTCATATGGCCTAAGGGCGAAACTTTAAGAACCAGCCTATCGTTTACGCATCACGTTCCCTTATTTTTAGCAGAAAGGAGCTTCATCCAAAGAAGCATTAGGAATTATTTGAGGCGTTAAGAAGTTTCACGCATACTTTTAAAGAAGATAGTTTACCCTGATCACGGATCCCCAACATTTGTGTCCATCTTTCACCATTAGAGATATGCCTACTACATTCGACTTTCCGGTTTCCAGTATATCGTAGCTAGTTCATAGAAAAAAACGTCACGGAAATGCTGACAGGCTGTCGCGATTATTGCTAGTACAGGAGAAAAGCAAGGGTACTGATATTGATGTTTCACGCGTGTTTACGACGACAGTATTTGAATACCAACCTGTATCATCTTAAATTAGATCCGTGAAGGACTCTTTTTCATTCAAGATGAAACGTCATCTCGCAGTTATGTATGACGGCCTGGTGTAAAAACGTAATCTTGAAAACCAGACCACAGGTACTAGCCTCGTCTGTCAAGACACGTATACTATATTATTATAGGTGTACTGACAGACGATCGCGAGGCTAGTACCTGTGACCAGACTAAAAAATATCGTTGATATCGGCTTCATAAGAACAATCCACATGCATCACTCGTCCACACAAGAGAGTAACTTCAAAGGTCATGGCAGCTAATGATGTTTACCACGTTCGTTTAAATAAGTTTAAATGATTCTAGCCCAATTTGAAGATCACAGCCATGAAAGTGTTTGTGAAAAGCATTGAATTCAAGTTGAGCGATGCAGATCCACAGGATCGCTTGTTTAGTCTTCTATGATATCCTTTCATTTCCCCCTCATTTTTTATCAGTACACAGTTCTTTTAAAAGTCAAAAAGACAAAATAAAGGTAAGGCACTTTTCTGTTGTAACATAAAACTGAGGGAATATAATTTTGTTGTCAAGGTCGGAAAAATCTGGGTCATACTCCTAAGATGTTTATCCACCCTCCTGTGAATCACTGTATCAATTTTTATATAGAAGTTCAAGGCAAAGCTAAGACTAGTTGACATAAAGCCTTATCAATATGAAACAAGTGCTTTCATGATCATTTCCATCTTTTCGTGATTCGCTTTTTAATTTCTGATACATTTGGTTTTGATTGCTAGGATGTACAAGGACGAAAAATTTCAGCAGTAAATCATATTCAATATAATGATGATTGTTTTTCTCTTACGACACAAAAGCATTTTATCACATAATGTACTGTGTTATCCAGTGAATATACCCATGTCATATTTTTTAGCGTACTAATCCATGTAATATGACCTATACTATCAGCTCTGTGTTTGGTTGTAAGTTTCAATTATTATGTCACCCCTTGAGAACAAGTATGACGTCACAGACTTACGCACTGGAGCTTTTTACATTTCAAGGTTGAAAATTGTCGCTTTATACACGAATAAATGCCACAAGCTTGAGTATGTGATAAAAAAAGATCTTACACTTGCATTTTATTATGAAAAATAAACTTTCTTCGACTCGTTTTGCTCGCTTCCTTAAAAAATTCTTAGACTTCTTTCATAAATCTCATATCAAATGGAAACTCATATAAGATCCTATATGTGTGATATGAGTAATTTTAATTGAATTTCAGTAATAAACGATTGCATCTTGAAATGCTGATTTTTAAGATTTTATGAAGTTTTGGAGTTTATGGACTAATTAGGCTGAAGAATGAATGAGTTCATGTGTAAATTAAGGACATCTTCAAATGAGTCACACACTGACAAGGGTTTAACTTGGTCAAGTCACATACTGATAAGGGTTTAAGGAATCCTTCCCACCATACCTTAATACTGAACTTCAGGCAATAGACAGAACGTACATCGGTATCAATTTTAATGACATCGGTGTGGTATTTTTGGTACAGAAAACTTCAAACAATTTCATTATTTCATCCTTAAAACAGACCTTAGAATAGTATGGCACATTAAGTAGTGATATTATCTACAAGCTCCACCCTGTAGCTAGCTATATATATAAAGTGTGGTAGATCCTGTCAGGAATCATGGCTGCTGACAACTTTCAAAAGCTGGAGTATGTGTTTGACGACTTCTTTCTCGTGAGCTCTGTGTACTAAATGGCCACCCCTCTCAAATAAGAGGACTCGTCTGTAGCAGCTGTCATCGTCTGAAACAGGAGACATCCACTTCATCATTACCTTTTCATAGATTACTCATTAGACAGAGATGTCCCACACCCCCGGTCAGAGAAAGATTAATATAACCTCTCATCCCCCTAAAGGGGGTGAATGATTCTTTTTCTCTTACCCTGTTCACCTATTGTATATCATTTGCATATTGTAATGTTAATGTTACCGGCTAAATTCAGGGTTGAAGTGACGTTGATGGATTGTTGACGTGAGGTCATTGTATTGTTAAAGTGACGTCATGCCATTGTTATGAATATGGGAATCCCCCCCGTCTCAACCCTAGGGTGGGACAAGGATATCTCACACTGATAAAAGTGTAGATACACCTGTCCAGGGTAAGAGACATCTCTGTCTTACTCTAGGGTAAAAACGAGGGATTCACCTGTAATTACAATTGCATGATGTGACAGTTTAACGATAGCATATCATGGAAGATACTCCCACCTGTTGGAAATTATGAAATAAACGTTTGCATTTTATGCAATTACTACTTGTATTTTATGTGGGAGTAAAGTAATCATTTCCTACTTTTGGCCTAGACATTTAAGTATGGTACCCCTTGGGTTGAGATTTACTGTCTTACACCCAAGTTGGGGATAGATTATGTTGGTCTCCTTTTCATTGCTATACTCAATATAATAATATAAAGAATATACAATATAAATAAAATATAAAATAATGATTTTTTATTGTTTTCATCCAAATACAAAACAGATGTCATTAACTTTATTCATGATCACCTTTTAATTCAATTTGTATCATATTATCACCTAACTACTCTAGCTGTTTTGACTTCTGACAAACATTTGTTTCTAATTTTTTGGGCATTGATTAATGTAAGATACATTCTAAGATTGAAATCTTTACATAATAATCAGTAATATTTAACAGACCTCTTAACTGAACTTCTAGTTTTATAAAATTCGGCTTAAATTCCATGTAAACCTATCACTACGATGTATTAGACAGGTAAAATAGGGGCACTTTATACAGACAAATATAACACAGAATATCACATAAAAAACAGTATCCTATATATATGTGTTGAAGATCAATAAATCAAAGAGAAGCACAATTACTGGGAGCAGCCCATGAGCAACCAGTGATTTATCGCTTGTATTTTCACACCATTAGCTTTCAAAGATTTAACCAATGAACACCTTAAGCTCCAACTAGAGTTAGTTAAAAACTAATTATTTCTTGGTGTATAGTTTGATGAAGCAGAAAGTAAAACAAACCTGTCACTCACACACACCGCTTCGCCACAGTAAGTGGTCGGGTCCCAGTAATGTTCACAGTAAGTGGTCGAGTCCCAGTAATGTTCACAGAGATTGGTTGGGTCCCAGTAATGTTTACAGTAAGTGGTTGGGTCCAAGCAATGTTCACAGTAAGTGGTCGTGTCCCAGTAATGTTCACAGAGAGTTGTTGGGTCCCAGTAATGTTTACAGTAAGTGGTTGGGTGCAAGTAATGTTCACAGTAAGTGGTCAGGGCCCAGTAATGTTCACAGTAAGCGGTCGGGTCCAAGTAATGTTTACAGTAAGTGGTCGTGTCCCAGTAATGTTCACAGTAAGTGGTCAGGGCCCAGTAATGTTCACAGTAAGCGGTCGGGTCCAAGTAATGTTTACCGTAAGTGGTCGGGTCCCAGTAATGTTTACAGTAAGTGGCCGGGACCCAGTAATGTTCACAGTAAGTGGTGGGGTCCAAGTAATGTTCACAGTAAGTGGTCGGGGCCAAGTAATGTTTACAGTAAGTGGTTGGGTCCAAGCAATGTTCACAGTAAGTGGTCGGGGCCAAGTAATGTTTACAGTAAGTGGTTGGGTGCCAGTAATGTTCACAGTAAGTGTTCGGGTCCAAGTAATGTTTACAGTAAGTGGTTGGGTGCAAGTAATGTTCACAGTAAGTGTTCGGGTCCAAGTAATGTTTACAGTAAGTGGTTGGGTGCCAGTAATGTTCACAGTAAGTGGTCGGGCCCAAGTAATGTTTACAGTAAGTGGTCGGGGCCCAGTAATGTTCACAGAGAGTGGTTGGTTCCCAGTAAAGTTTACAGTAAGTGGTCGGGTCCAAGCAATGTTCACAGTAAGTGGTCGGGCCCAAGTAATGTTTACAGTAAGTGGTTGGGTGCAAGTAATGTTCACAGTAAGTGTTCGGGTCCAAGTAATGTTTACAGTAAGAGGTCGGGTCCCAGTAATGTTCACCGTAAGTGGTTGGGTCCCAGTTATGTTCACAGTAAGTGGTCGGGGCCAAGTAATGTTTACAGTAAGTGGCTGGGTCCAAGTAATGTTCACAGTAAGTGGTCAGGTCCCAGTAATGTTCACAGTGAGTGGTCGGGTCCAAGTAATGTTTACAGTAAGTGGTCGGGACCCAGTAATGTTCACAGTAAGTGTTCGAGTCCAAGCAATGTTAACATCCAAAGAGTTTCTTGTCACGATTCAAATTTATGAAATGAAAGTGAAATGTTGATCATTTTCTTTTAAAGTCATTTTCTACGACAAAATTAACACAATAGCAGTGACTTACATTTCCCTACATTATCCCCAACTGTCATGTTGTTGTTACTAAACTCAGTTATCTCCCCTTCCTCTATTTCCAGATGCTGTGCCATTTCCACAGCGAAATTCCACTCTCCAATCTTGTCATTTCGAGTAATGGCCATCACAAATGGATGTTTTTTAGCTGCAGCAGTCTCAGCATAGGCCTGCATCTAAATTCAATTGTAAAATAGATTTTGCACATGTCATCTTTTTCAATTTCAGATAAAATCATAAGACTAGAGTTGATTATAAAAGGACTTAATTACCACAAAAACTAAAATATACAACTTTACCTTGTCAAAATTTGAATATCTCACACTCTCTACAGCTATAGGCAGTGATGGAAATGTATCCTCCTCCAACACAAAACCTACATAAAACAAACACACATGTCACTTGAATAAATCAATGAATAAGACTATAGTCACAGACATTCTCAACAAATCTTTTCAAACAACAAAAATCACCTTCCTAAAAAGAGCAATTTTGAACATAGGTTCATTTAGTTTAGAATTTTTAATAATAAATCAAATAGACAAAATTAAATTTTCTGTCTGAAGAAACAAGAACGTTAGCCTCAGTGCAGTCAATGAATTGCCACCAGTACGGCCTAATGGTTTTGGTATGAGACAGACCATAAACCTCAATATCTTTAATCAGACACCCCTGAATAGATCATAAGGGGAGAAGAAGGCTTATTTTTGTTATAAATAAACTTTATTAAAAGATAACTTTTTTCCTAGTACCTCTGAGTGTTGTGCATATACATTCATTCATTTTGGGAGGGGTGAGCGGCACTTTTTCAAAGACCCTACCACCCATCAAATATTTAAAGTGATTTAATATAATGAATGGAAGGAGTTAGATCTGGTTTTAACCCCACCCCCCATAATATATTAATACTCATGCCACCTACTTTTCTCCTACAATAAATTACGGAATAGTAAAATAATTATGGAAATTGTTTTCGGGTTTCAGAATGTTGTTTAGCATATCTTGAAAATTCGAAGGTTGTGCCAGATATTTCGGTTTCATTTTCCAACTTTAGTTAGTGAATGTGAATACCACCATTACTATTACATTGTTGTGGAAATTCTTAACTGCATAAAAAAGCCTCATTTTGAACAATCAATTAAAAAACATGTCACACCCAGATTATTGTGGAAAACATCAATTTAAAAAAACAAGCTATTTGGATTGATAATAATGTCTCGCCTGTGCCCGTTTTAACCATCAACGTACATGACAAGTTTGGTTGGTCTCGCACTACCACTTTCAGTGAAACTTAATTAAAACGCGAAAACTTAATGTTGACACTGCCGTCACTGGTCTTGCTTAACCGCTATTTCAAGGCGTGATACAACAAGAGGCCCAATGGGCCTGCATCGCTCACCTGGTATAAAACTCACACTTGTAACCTTAAAAGTGATCTGAAATAAAGCTACAGGCAAAATATCAGTATTTATGATTAAAATTCATTCAAAAGACCCTCTTATTTTTTTGGGAACATTTCACCCCTGTGATTGAAAGTCGAACAAAGTCATTATGTTGAACACATAGTATAGCCTTTCATCTCAGGATGCAACTTGCAAAGTATAAACATCCTGGGACCCATGGTTATTCAGAAGAGGTTGTTTAAAGATTTTAAACAAATTTGACCCCTGTGACCTTGTATATAAATCAAAGTCATTCACTTTAACAAACAAAGTAGTCCTTGATCCCAGCATATGCTACTGACTAAATATCAACATCCTGGGCCTTTTGGTTATTCAGAACAAGTTGTTGAAATATTTTGAACATATTTGCTCCTTAATTGTGACCTTGAATATGATTCAAGGTCATACATTTATACAAACTTGGTAGCCCTTGATCCTAGTATGCTACTGACTAAATATCATTACCCTGGGCATTTTGGTTATTCAGAAGAAGTTTTTAAAGTTTTTAACATATTTGACCCTTGTGACCTTGAATATGGGTTAAGGTCATGCAATTGAACAAACATTGTAGCCCTTCATCTCAGCATGCTACTGGCCAAATATCTTCACCCTGTGCATTTTGGTTATTCAGAAGAAATTGTTGAATGTTTTTTTACATATTTGACCCATGTGACCTTGAATATAGATGAAGGTCATTTATTTGAATAAACTGTGTAGCCCTTTAACTCAGCATGCTACTGGCCAAATATCATTACCCTGGGCATTTTGGTTATTCAGAAGAAGTTCTTTAAAGTTTTTAACATATTTGACCCCTGTGACCTTGAATATGGGTGAAGGTCATT